TAGTAGGTCGCTGGTAATGTTCTACAAAATTACAGCTGATGAATGCGCCTTTGAAAAAAAAAAGGCAAAAAAGCCGAAACGTCTCAAGCGAGGCGTTCCACTTCACAGACGCTTTTGGGATTGTATGGGGTTTTCACAAAAAAAAAACGGCGAACACGAGTGAGCAGACGTGGAGGAGGCGGTAGAGTTGCATTCACAGAGAACCCTCTAATCAAATTCATTCCAAGTTGTATTCCAGCCTGAAGGGCGTTTTCAAGCGTGCTCCATAAAAATGCATTGCCTCGCCCACGCACATTCCACTTGCCGAGCTTTCTACCTAACCATAAGACTTCATCCACCTATTGTATAATGTGCTCTTTGCACATGTTTGTTACACCACCTTTTAGGAACCTTCGGTTAAAGTCAATAGCCATTCTTTTTCCAATGATGGTCGTCGTAGCTGCCTAGTTCTGCCACACTAAAATGGAACCCTGTTCTTCTCATGACTAGGGTGTAGTGAAGGCTATGAAACTTGTGTGAAAAACCGTCTACCTGTGATTGCCGGCTTCGCGGTACATATATTCTAAAATCCGACAGGTTCATCTCCCAGAAGGCACGTGCGAGTGGCAAGGATTGAAATCTCATTATCGACAAATTCAAAATCGTTTAAAGCAGCAGTTTTGATATTTCCAGACTATAGGACCTGCTAAAAACAACTATGGGGTAAATCCAACTTCAGAGATTAGCAAAAGTACAACACTAAGCATGTGTAGGTCAACATAGCCCTTTCGCCGTACCGATAGCTAGAATTAGGCTACTATGTAGCCTCGAGGAATGAAATATATGGTGCTAGAAGACCAGGACTGGTCCCTAGATTCGAACTATTGAAAGGGAGACTTAAACGGTAGCAATAGAAGAGTGCCGTAGTGCCAGTTGTGAAGTAGCGCTTAGGCCGTTTCAGTGAAATATATTGGCACCTTAAACAAGCTCGTGCTCAATTTTGAGATGTGAATTTCCGGGAACGATGCCACTAAAACAAGCCACAGTCCTTTTTGTTGCTGCTGTAGTGATTCTCTGACTTTGGTCCACTTCGTAGTCGTTTGGTTGTTCACAAGTTTCGCGCTTATCACTACGACAGCGAATTTTGTCGATAAGAACTCAGGCTGCGAAAGCAATAGCTTTTTATTCAAATACAGTCATTACATTGGAAAACATTCAAAACCGTTGCTGCCATTGACGATCATATTTCCTTTGCTTATGAACAGACGTTTTGCAATAATCTTCTTTTATGGAACCATAATTAATTGCCACCACGATCAGTATCTGAAATGAAATGCAATAAAAACAGAAAGAATTCTCGAGAAAGCATTCCCAATACTATCGCTTCTTGACCGTAGACTTTCCCAAGAGATGACATCTTTGTCGACATCGGCAGTGCCTAGCGTAAGCATCATGAGGCCAGTTAACCTACATTTTAATACGTGTTGTTAACGGATTGCCGCTCACAGAAAAGCCATTTGAATGATCATAAGGCGAAGAATGAACCCTACTATGTGCTCAATGCGGGTGCACCGTTGCGGCCTTCTTGGCCACGCGAGGCCAGCGCGATTTCGTGAGCGTGTCCGTCTCATTTCACGTTTTCTCAGGGGCAAATATACAAACCACTATGAATAATCAATGAATGAAAGTAATACAACCAGAAACAATGGCATAATGAAATGAGAAGGATTATACACTCTCACTTGCAGTTTGATGAACAAGAAAGACCTTCACTTCGGCTGTTCCAACAAAAAAACAAACAAATATAAACCTTCTTCATTAAATGCGACGCTTCAGTCTTTGTTCTTATTATACTCTTTCTATAAGCGTACATGAAGAATAAAGAAGACATGACAGAATATGTCACACTAATGCAAATTTGTGCGGCTGGCGTCTTTGAAACTGGAAGCCGTATTTGATCTGCTGGCTAGCTACTATCTGCTTAGGTCCCTTCAGGATATATCTATAGAAAAATGCAAATTTCGACAAAAAAGTTCGCTGCATGCGGTCGAAAAGGGATCATAATGCAGGTGCAAGAATAGCTAAGGGAGGCTGGTAGCAGATTGCGATGGAATAACATAACCACTGTCATTGTTAGGCCGCAGGTATCTCTGCCAAACTATTATACATAGTCCAATGTCCTGTGTATGCTGCCAGCTACATGTACCATGTACACTGAACAATGAATGAAGTTTTCTTAAAGGGAACTTTGAGGATACCGTGAAGGTAATTGTAAGGTCCTTTTCTATCCAGATCACTCCATCCTCGTCGGAGTTTGCGCGGTTAGGGCGCTGATAATTACCGCGCAGTTTTTGCGACGAATTGGAACTGGAGTCCGCTGGGCCTGCAACCATCGACCCCGTTCCAACGCTTCCCACCCACCGCGAGAGGTGGTGAGATCAGCGTGCATTGATGTAGAGATCAGCGTGCTCTCTCAAACGACGTGCTCTCTCGCGTATTTTGTCTTCTTTGACCGCCCTGTCTCGCCATCGTACCACATCCGACCTTATTGAAGGTTAAGGCCTTAATTTCAGCGTTCCAAAGATTTCTCTTGCTTTCCTTTCCACTTTCAGGTCGTTCCGCAGCTAAGCTATCACTACAAAGCGCTGATAGTACCAGTTTAATCCCGAATCAGGATTAATTGATGGGTTGATTCCACTCAAATGTGAAAGTAGGGATGGGAGGTGGACCGCCAGTGGAGAAAAAAGGAAAGAAAATCCTGAAATACACAGGAAATACGAGCATTTTGCTCCATGCTGTGGAGAAGTTCAAAAGACAGGCAGGGAGATGAGAGATAATGTGAGCGCGGAGAGTGGTAGAGAAGTCCGAGAAGAGAGAGCATAGCAGATCAACGTGGCGACGCAGACAAGATATCGAACGGTGGGCGGACCATGTTAAGTTTGGTGGAGTCTGTTAGAAGTCCATGGCGCCTAGGGTCCTAGTGACGCGTTTCGATGTAGAAAGGTGGCGCTACCTTTGCACTTGCGTACCCAGCACTTCTAGCCATGGTAAGGGCTTCTTAGGTGGGTCTGAGCCCGAACTTTGCCTTTAAGGCAGGAGGCGCGAACCGTCGCCACTCTAGAGTGCGAGGCGAGCAAAAGGCAGGCAGGAAGATGAGAGATATTGTGAGCGCAAAGAATGGTAGAAAAGTTCGAAAAGAGAGAGCATAGCAGATCAACGCGGCGACGCAGAATAGATATCGAACGCTGGGCGGACCATGTTAAAGGAGGATTTCACGATTAGAATGGAGGTCGAGGAAGAAGTAATTCACCTAGTTGAGTAACCCACGGACCTCCTGAGGGTGCGAACTGATGCGCAATTCGCATCGAAAAATTTGACCTCGGCGACCTATTATGCCTCAAAGTTGGCGGGTCTGGCGATCTCCGCCCACCGACCAGCTGATCACTCGCCGCAGATCTATACGTGGGATTGATTAGATAGCAGAGAGAGCGTGATGTTGAGGAGGGCACAGCGATGAGAGTCGCATCAATGCTCGAATCAACGGGCAAGGAAGGGGTACCATTTCTCGGGTTCTGGGCCGTTTCTCATGGTTCTTCCTTCTTTCGTGTACCACTCACCATCCCTAGGTTAATTTGAAATGGGTTGCTTTTTCATCGTGAATTCGTCCTTTAAGTTTGGTGGAGTCTGTTAGAAGTCCATGGTGCCCAATGTCCTATTGACGCATTTCGATGCAGAAAAGTGGCGGCACTTGTACGTGCGCGAGCATTCTAGTCGAAATGGGTGAGGAGCTGTCTTAAGTGGGGAGCGCGAACTTTGCCTTAAGAGAGTCTAAGGATCAGTGGATGGCTATATAAAGAACCACTTTCATCTAAGCAGGACATTCTGAGATGAAACAGGTAAGGAGAGGCGAGATTAATCTATTTCCAAATGGCATAGTTGGCGGGTGATACGCGTTCATTGAAGAGCAAGCCGTATTGCTGAGAACTTTTAATCACTTGATTTGATGTGTGGGCGTTGCGTTCCGGCCACGACCCCTTGGCGTATTCACTCTCTGGGTACGGGTAATATACGGCGAAGACAAGGGGCCAACCAATGAACGTTTCCCTTCGCTCTTTTTTTTTAAGTGGTGACTAAGCATTACAGTGATTTTCTTTTTTCTTTACTTTTCCTCCTAACACCCATCTTCATTGCGGAATGCGCCTTCGAATAAGTCAAGTAAAGGATAAACGGAAAGGGTAGAGGAAAGCGATTCACGGATAAGGGTAGAATATGATAGAATTAATATGTGAAAATCTTTTCAAAGTGGAGGAAAAGAAACATGCATATTTTTCCCGTTTCGAGATATACTGAGAGCCCGAAAAATGTCGCTGGAAACGTTTAAATCGGGACAGCGCAGAAATTCATGATAGTGAGTTAAATAAGTTGTGAGGTTACCAAGTTGACAGGGCAGCTACCTGTCGATTGACAAATCCGACTTTATTTGAAGCCTCATACATAGCAAATTAGAGTGAAGTGATTCGAGAAAGTGGCCATCATTTCTATTTCCAAAGAAACTACACTACAAGAAAGTATAACGCATTGGCAATGACCCTGCCAGGCGACACCCTTAGGGTTGAGTTCTATTGCGCAGATTCCACGTTTATAAAGATGCTATATTAACGTTGTGCACTGTTGTATAGTGGGTGTTTTAGTGAACGGAACCTTGGGAGATTTGTTCAGGAGAAGCTGTATTTCCGTTATATAAATCCTATCTTTCACTAGAAGTGAGGTAACGTAGCATGGACCTTTTCCTTCTTGCCAACCTCTACCCATTTTTTCCACGGTTTCTAGGCAGTCTTAGATCTGAGTTATAATGTTGCGGCAAACGCCGCCCACCTCAATACACCCCATTCAACAACGGCAATTGGCTTTCTTCCGTTGTCGGATTCTTACAGCTTGTTCCCATTTTTTGGACTTCTCTGAACTGGATCATGAGAATTTGTAACTGTAACACTGTTCATTCAAAGGCACGCTCTGCCTCTTATGAGCGAATTTTCGCCCAGTTAAAGTATGCCGGAAAGACCTTAGATAATCTCCTGAGCTGATTTTTCTTCTCCACAGCCCTTTTCCCAACAGACATATGAGTTTTTTTTTCTATTGAGCACTGCGCTTTTAGAGGACGCCCCGCCCACCATAGACGTGTCTCTGTACTTTGACATGGCGACTCACTGCACACTTTTAAGTGTTTCTCTCGATCTTTGTGCAATTCTATAATCGAATTCGAAATCTTTGTAGTCGTCATCACCTAATGCAGGTGGAACGCCCAGCCGAGAAGTGTTCTGTACTTGATGACCCATGCAACACACATCCCTAGTTTGACCTAGGCTCTGCAGGTAGTTCTTCAAGTAAAACCAAATTATATGAAAGACGGACACTTTTACACACTGAGAGACTTAGCGCTTTGTTTACAGTGGAGATTTTTTCATTTGCATTTGTCATTACTTCAAAATAAGAAGTTTTTACTGTTTTGCTAGAATGGGCTTAATTGGAATTTACAAGTCATCTCCGACGGGCTGGTTCTTGGAAGCCTACTAATTCCATACCTCGGAGCGTTTTAATTGGAAACCGACGCAGGTAATGCCACTACACTGATGTGCAGCTTATTCACACGATGATCAGTCTCATTTGTGCTATAGGGCCGCTAAGAAAAGTGACAAAGAACGATGAGGAAAACTATGATTCCACAACCTAGAAAAAATGTAGTGGAAAGGACGAAATGTTTGTGACAAGTCAAAGACAAAACGAGAGAAGCCAACGACAGCAATATTTCCTCCCATAAGCGCAGAAAACAATCAACGACTTGTAATAAAATCACAACTTACATGTGCAAAAGATTTGGTTACATTGGGGAAAGTTGCTTTGTTCCCCGGCTCGCTCATAGTTGCATCCCCACCAAACCACTTCAGGATATTGCGAGCAGCGCTTACTGAACGCTGACATGTAACATTCCTTGGCCACTTCCAGGTATCTGAAAAGAACAGGAGGATCATATGTAGTGCTGAAAGCCGAAAAATCACCCTTGTTGTATAGGAAAGAAGTTGAGTTGTTGTAAGAAAAAAGAAATATGGATCGTTGAATGGCGAATATCAAAGAAAATAGGATTGTTAGGACGCACGTTTCCCTCCTGCGACCAGCGATATCACTAAACTAACAATTACTTATATGTATCGGCATCAGCAAATTTAAAAACCTTCTTCGAGATCTCTAGAATCACGGCTCGATGTGTCCTTGGCACTCACAATGAGTACACACTTTGAATTTCAACTATTTCCGGAACAATGCCTGGCATCGATTGTTGCCAAATGCCTCCAAGGGTGATCGTAAGTTTGCGAGCATCCGCGAAAACCATGGCTGAGTTATAAGAAACGGCCCATCAAACACCACTATTCGAAATATAATAGTTTTACTAGCAACCACTCCATTTGCTGAAATATATACCGCAGCTGCACACAATTACCCTCCATCTACTCGCGATTAAAGATCTATCACAAAGCAACAATCCAGGAACGAATTCGCGGGTAAGGACCACCTATAATGACGTTGCAGGTGAGAAGTTGGTCAATGGAGAAAGAAAAAGTAGAAAAAACGTCGGGCAGGGGCTTAGACAGGGACTCCCCCTGCCGTTTAGGGAGACGTGTGTTGGACGAGTTGTCCGAACCTGCCCGTAGTACATGCGCTCCAATTGCAACTGCTGGCAAATAGCCATGCATGCTTGCAAATACATAACTATTTGCCAGCAATCGAAATTGAAGCGCTTCAATTGCGTTCTTATGGAATCGACCTCATACAGCGCGGCGGTCCCGCAACGACCGCTAGTCGAGCAAGCGCTCTGCACAGCTGCTTGGAGGCGGCCCCACCACGGATCGGTGGATCCGCCCCTCTTGAAGGATTTCGACTGCTTCCAACGCCTTTCAGAGGTAAGTTTTGAAGTTTGTGACATTTCCCATGAACTCCAATCAGGCTGAGGCATGTTTCCACCACTTGAAAACCAAATGGTTGAAACCCTGCCTGGACTGTTGCTTTAAGTAGATGGAGCTCAGTATAAAGTATGCATTTTTGAGCAGGGAGGTCGGAAATCTAACCTCGAGATAGTGACATTCAACCCTTCCTGTTCAGAAGCTGGGCTAGGGAGAGGAATAAGTATATTCGATCAAGCGAGATCATGGGAATGTGACGGAAGGAGGAAAACCTCGAAGTCGAAGCACTTCCATTGATGCCTGATTCCCTTCGCGACATTGGTTCGTCAATGTTCTGACGGTACCGTTCCTTTCAAGAAGTATAACATCGGCGATTTGCTTGAAAAGTTTCTAGTTAATAGCAGTTGAGCTGTGTATGTGCTAGCAGTGGTGCTGACATTTGAATGTGTGCGACGATCGCCCACCAATACGCAAGATGAGATCCGGGCATTAGACTTAGGGAGCCAAAGTAGGGCTATTTCGGAGCGATATGTGCTCTGAAGCATCTACTAGGCAAGCGCCTCTGTATTTGCTCCCACTAGCTTACTCATCCCTATCCGCCTTATCGGACATTCTTAAATGGCGACCTTTAGATGAAGGTAATAGGGATTTTCACTCTATCCCTAACCGCTTCGCAGCTGGTCATTAATCTCGCTCGATGTGTTCGTGAATGTGTCAAGCAGAGGGTCCCAATACCCATCGGAGGCAAGCACGGGTTCCGTGGTATGGAACACTTTCATATATCCAGCGGAAGATCAGCATGAATGTGCTTCGGCAAGGGTTTGAAAAAAGTACGCATTTTTTACTTCAAATCCCACAAGAGCATTGTCAACCGCCCGTAACGAACAACAAGGGTTTCATAACCCTCAAGTTACATCCGCAAATAGAGGCCTGGCCAAAGGCTAAGGAGGCCAAAACTTTCAACTGCCACTGCGACTACGCACCACAGACGAGCACAAGCGAAAAAATTTTTCAGAGAAACTCTCATGCCTTTGGTACAAATCAAAGTGGAGGAAAGTGCAGCGAATTCGGCTGATTGACCTCTGGGGTACAAATAAAAACCTATGGCAGGAGTGATAATCCAGCTTCCGCTGTATAGTACTGATCCTTCATATTTCAGTCTTTACCGCTTCTCAATACATAGACTTTGAAGAAACTTATGGCCATTTGAAGGTTGAAAAGTCGCGTTTCAGGAGAATGGCCTGAAAAAACCATAGAGGGAAAAACGGAACAACGGGACGATTTTTTGAAAGAGTGGTCATTCAGAAAATTTGATATTTTTTCGAAAGCGTCAATCTTCTAGTTTCTAATTAGCTTTGAAAATCTGCAAAAAGTTGATAATGAAGAAAGTTATGAATGTTTGAATGTCGAAAACTCGCGTGTGCACAAAAAACGGAACAACGGGACGATTTTTTGAATATTGAACATTGCAACATTTCAAATACTTTTTAGAAGAAAACAATTGAAATTTTTCAAATTTTTGTATCCCATTCCATGATACCGCTTTAAAAAAGATATAACCTTTGAATGAAGAGGTTTGTATCGTAACGTAATTGCTGCAAGGTTTATTTATTCAGTTTATAAAAAAAGGAAATTTGAGAGATCGAAAAAAACTTGGTAGGTTTCTGAAAGTAGAAATCTCTGCGATTACTATCATGCCTGGTTTACGCAAAAATTTGGAAATTCCTTCTATTTAATGAATAAAATTTCATGTTGCCTCGATCCCGTCCTCTGAGCGAGACAAAGCGCGCGGACTTACCACTGTCCACCACCTCTCCATGTCGGTGACTGCCCATACACCGATGATGGGCCTAAATACACTGCGACGCATAATTATAGTTCCACCTACAAATTTCCCAAAAACTTGAATCTGGGGATGTTTTTGGAAAAGGCTCTACAGATAAATTGTGACACATATAAACGCGAATCTGAATATTAACACGGAAATCCAGTTTGAGAAAGCAACAATTTTTTATCCTTATTTTTTCGAAAATATCCGCTTTAGCTTCTCCGCTGCATTTTGCTTTTACCCAATCAAAATTTGGAATTATTATCCATTCAAGTTCCTTAGCTTATAGCAAAGGCAAAACCGCTGTCACACTTCCGTAAAAGGGAAATCCTAGCAAAAGAGACGCAGGAATTGTCAAAGTGTCAGCTCCGCTGGAATTTGTCGGGGTGACTTCATAACGAACAAATTTCTCAAGGATGCTACAGGATATGACTGGGAGGAACCCTGATTACTATCCGACTGAGATAAGCGCCGTATCGTGAGAAAATGATATCCAGCCGGGTACTGAAATTGTAGGTGGAACTATAATTATGCGTCGCAGTGTATGTAAAAAGACACAGTGGCTAATACAGGGGGTCGTACCGATGCCCTCCGTAGGGGAGGGGGTCGTAAGAATTTGAAGTCTGCGCAATGCGCGGTTGACCCTGCACAAGAGGCTCTGAGAAGGCCCACTGTGGGTCTCCTACATATGTATTAACAGCTGATCTCCGAACACTGTACGGTCTTCTGACTACTCCTTGGCTTTAAATAATGTAGGCTAAAGGTTCTGAAAAAACTGACAGGACCTGTTTTGTTGTGCTTACTGTTGTGGAACAAAAATTATTGGAGAGAGTCGCTGTTATGATACGGCGGATAAGAAATAACCCGAGGAACGTAGGCATGTTTCGTGTCACAAAAAGAAGAATACGTTCTGGTCTCACCTTGGAGTTGGGAGGAACTTCAAACACCGAAATGTTTCGAAAAGTGAAACAGGACTAACTCACGCGCATCTATTCATAACATTTGGGTCCTTTGCAATGGAAGCAGCAAAGTTTTTGTCGCATGTCCTCATATCGGCGACGCCATTGAGAAATACACTCGCCGCACAATCGTCGTTGTTGGCAAACTCTTAAATAATGCTTTGTGGCAGTACTGGGCTCCGTATGAAGGACACATTACCAGTGAAACCAGCGCCGCAAGAAAAATCGAATTGATTGAAGATTTTCGTATATCCGAGTGCTTGGTACTCCGTTATTCCAGTGGCTGTTCTGCAACATTCAATGGTTTACCCGGAATCACAAAGAAAGGCAATTTGGGTCAAGAAAAGGCCTACATTGTACAGGAGTACATAGCATGACAGAGAAAATGAACATGGGAAAAATATCGAAACAAAACACCAGAAAAATGATTACCCATTTTGATCCACTAGTAGTCCGAGAGGATTGTTGGCACAGTTAGAGTAGTCATCACGGTTGCTGAAAAAACCACTTGTACAATAAAAGTGAAATTTGGTGCAACAGTTGTGTCGCCTACAGTACTAATATAGTAGTTCCGTACGACGCAAAAGCAATATATGGAGTCGCTTTGATTTGACGTCACGGTGAGGAACGCGTGCAATTATGGTCCAGACGCTACGATACATCAAGAGGTCGATGAACAACATCATGCGGAGTGGATTGACAACCAAAATAGTTTTTGGACCCGAGGCGGGTCGTTCACTCAGCCAACTCTGATTCTATCACAACCCCGTCCTTGGCGCAATCCTCGCTCCGCGACTTTCAGCAAAAATGGTGTTTGAAACAAAGATAGCTTGAATAAATGGTGCAAAAACGAACATGTCGCGTCTCGAACGTAACTGCATCGTGAAGAGCAAAATCGAGGCGCACACTGGTTTTAGTCTTGTACCCACTTCTGATAAGGCAATTTAGAATGTATGAAATGCGTTCTGTTATGCATTTCTTATAATTGATCATGTGTGCGATACTCAGAAACAAGCACTTGTGTCAATCGTTTCTGCACTTTATAGGACATCGCAGTGACTTTTTAGCGATAATTGGTTCAGCGATTGAGCACGTAATAGTAAATTGTCTGCACGCATACATGGTGAACGCTCCCGAAACGCAGTACAGTAGCCGATAGTTTTGGTTTTTTGGTTGTAATGTCGGTCACCCTCCATACGCCTTGCTGAAAATTCAGCACTAACCATCTGCTTGCAAACAAGGTGGGTCACGGTGCGCTATCTCGAAAAACAGATCTGCCAGAGATTTTCGGATGCATCATTTTCTGGAATTTCACTCCCTTGGCCTTTCGTACAATTCACCTTCTCATTCTGTGTTTTAAGACGGGCTCAAGGGGTGATCGACTTTGGCTCCATCATACTGTATCGTGACGAGCCACAATAGATGACGCAAGACCACCACAAGATCGACGGTGTTAGAAAGCTGGAGGTAGGTGGGGCTGCCCCGGAAATCGCACATTTAAAATAATTCACAGTGGTAGGCGAGGAAGCTTAAGATTGGGGGCTGCACCTTGCTCACACACGCACTCAACTGATTTTAGCCCAGCTAGCCTTTTAGATGGTCAAATGGTATCTCGGAGGCTCGGTATTCTTCAAGACGGAACCACTAGGTAAAAAGCTGATTTCTTGCTAGTCGGTCACATTTGTGAGCTGAAATCCAGCACTCGCTGCACTCACGCTCCTTTTTCCATTGTGTCGCATGACTCCAACACCCCGAACAGCCCCGTTTTGGAACAACACGAACGGGTCCAGGAATGTACATACAACTTCCGTCATATTTACCGCTTTACCTAGTAGTAAGCAATTATATACGTGGAATAAACCCTTCCGAGCTTGCAAGTGTTCCACACATGTTATCACATATCAAAAAGGGGCTTCTATGGAGAGAAGAAAGTAGTCACGAAAAGTGAGGTCATCAGAACTGCTTCTTAGAATGACAAGTGCAATAGTCGACATTTAGCAGAAACGGCGCCATACAACAACATAAAAATCGAGCTCTGTTTTCATGCTCCTCAATCAAATTCACCACTATGGAAGCCGTCGCTTGGTTGTGCGAGGGTTCAGGAGAACTACAGACCGGAAGTCTTCCGAGAATGATTTAGGCAGCGTGTCAAAGCTTGAGGAGCACTGCGTTGCTCGCTTACTGTTTGAATTGGAATTTCAGTTTTGGTCGTTTTTGCACCCTTCTGCGATAACGGCAGTGGGAAATGGTGAAACAATTAGATATTGATCAGCTCTTTTCGTAATGAGACATGTATTCGGGTAGGGGTCAGAATCGCAGCTGCATTTGAATGCGAGTGTGCCTCATGCAGGGACGACATGTGACTGGCCAGCTAATAGTCAAGGCGACAGAGTGTTTCTCTAGATAGGCCTGAAGTCAATTAAACATCAGCAATGAATGAAAATCTTTCTTGTCTTTGGCGGATATTGATATTGGAACAAAGTTCTTGGAGCGATGGCAGTTGTCAACGTCCGAACTCCATCATAGGACTTACTGCATGTCACAAGCGATACGTTAAGAGACGACTAGCTCCTTACGACGTCACGCAAAGCGGACAAAGCGCTTGGATGGATAACCGTGAAGAATTTTCCATCTTCAAAGACTTCAATTTCTTACTTACGCAAAACAGGTCTTATAGTATTTGAAAGACATGCAGACTTTCGCCAGTCCATCAGCCTTTGACACTCCCAGCTTGTTCTCGATAGCAGCTCTTAGGTCTTCATAGGTTTTCACACCAAGAGTGGCTGAAATGAAGAATTCTCTTATCACTCCACATCGAAAAAAGCAGAACTATCTATGAAGCTGATTCTCCAGTCCTGAAACGTCAAGAGTTTCACCGTCAATGCCGAGGTCATCATTGAAGACTGCCTGACATCTTTGTAGTTGAACAGGGTCGCAGGCACGAAACTGGTATCCTGGCCTTGTCTGGGCGACTACTTTCCCTGAATTTTTCAACATATTCACCTGCTAATCCGTCATTAATAAGCATGAGCCTTATGCGATATCACATTGGGCGCTAAGTAGTATTAGAATAACAAAGAAAATACTCATTTCTACTTACCAACTATGATAAGAAATGCAACTGCAAGCATCGGTGGGAATAGACGAGGGAAGGTACACGGCTGTTTTATCTCTGATGCCAATAAATACCATTTACGACCATGAGCGCACACCCTTCCCCACCAAGGCTTAAATGGCAGTATGACGTGCAATTCAAGAACGTTTCAACCATCCAGGGGATCTTATCATCTGTGGAAGAAGATGTGTTCTCTTGCTAAGAGTGCAAGGTTCGTTAACACACTGACAGCAACGTCATCCCACGCCAGATGACACACCCCAACGTTCAATTCAGATTAATTTCCAACTATGAGCATTATGAATTTGTAACCAATTGCATTAGGTTGGTCCAAAAGACTTGCAACTAATTACATTAAGCAAGGATTTGAATTATGAGTTAATTCCACTTCAAATGTGAAAGTAGGGGTAGGTAGTGGACCGCCAGTGCAGAAAAAGAGAAAGAAATCGTGAAATGCTTAGGAAATACGAGCCATTTCCTCTACGGTGCGGAGAAGTTCAAAAGGCCGGCAGGGAGATGAGAGATAATGTGAGCGCGGAGAGCGCTAGAGAAGTCTAAGTAGAGAGAGCATAGCAGATCAACATTCCGACGCAGTCAAGATATCGAGCGGTGGGCGGAGCGTGTCGCAGCAGGTGGAGCGTGTCAAAGTTCTTAGCGCCTAGCGTCTAAATAACGGTTTTCGAAGTAGGGAAGTGACGCGACCCCTACACTTGCGTACCTAGCGCTTCTAGCCACCGTAAAGGCTCATTAAGTGGGTCTGAGCCCGAACTTTGCCTTTAAGTGCCAGAAATCTTTTTGAGTATCTTTTTGAAAATTCCGCAACATGTTTGTTGAGACAGCGCTCACATCCATCCAATTTCAGCCAACTTCCAGCTAATTGTTCGCTACCTACACAAGGGAGGTCTTTCAGGGCAAGGTGCGCTTTTTGGAAACGGTTTAGTACATGTTGTAGGGACGCATGTATGGACCACAAAACCATGTTTCGTTTTCGCTGAACGGTTTTAGTAGTACCAAAAAAGTGGTGAATAATACTCTTGATGGTTCAATCCCCCGCGGCGACTAAATTTTGCAATCAAGGTTGGCGGCCACTTGTTGGCTTCAAAATGGTCCTGACGATGAATTTGACATCTGATTTTGATATTTAGCGCGATTTGGCACCAACCGTAGGCGCCAACCCAAATGCAAAATTTAGTCGCCACGGGGGATCGAACCCTTAACAGTACCTTATGCTTCTTTTTTGGTACTGCTAAACCGTTCAGCGAAAATGAAACATGGTTTTGCGTTCCCTACATGCGTCCCTACAATATGCACAAAACCGTTTTGAAAAAGCGCACCTTGCCCTGAAAGACCTCCCTTGTTAGGGATAGTTTCGCGAAAAGCTCTATGTGCCCATAAATTTCATGAGCACCGCTTGATATCTTCCACAAGTCATGCTTCACCAACGATTAAGCAGAAGATGGGCGAGGGCATGCTCCCTCGATCCACGGTGCACCCCGGCGCTTCACCCTGCCCGGCGTGGCTGCCACCACGTGAGTGGCATCAGCAGAGTCGCAAAACTGACAATTTTAATTTCTGGGCAACCTAATATTTATGGTAGCCTTGGCTCACGTTTATCACATCCTTCACTATATTAGGTGTTTTGTCGAAGGTAGGCTAGGGAGCCACCATCTTACCAGGGAAGGTCATAAGGGCGGTCCAGCCATTAGCAGTGAGCTGTATACCGTTGCACTCGCCTCGAGACGCTGAGCTCAAACTGTCTTCCTTATCTGCTAAACGATTTTTTGAACGGAGTTATAAAGCAAGGAAGCGCAGCGGTAGTGCCCTGTCTCGCAGGCAAGAGGTTGTGGGAACTGCTTTGTACAGGCAACTAATGGCAAGTGTTGATAAATTGACGAGATTCAGCTTTTCTGCCACACTGACATTGAAAAACAAAAAGCAGGCTCCTCGAAAAACGTTCCCACCACCTCTTGCCTGCGAGACCGGGCACTACCGCTGCGCTTTCTTGCTTTATAACTCCGTTCAAAGAACCGTTTAGCAGATAGTGAAGGCAGTTTTGAGCTCAGCGTCTCGAGGCGAGTGCAACGGTATACAGCTCACTGCTAATGGCCCGGACCAGCCTGATGACCTCCCTTGGTTAGGCAAAGATTGTTATTTTCAAGTGCGTGAAGATGGTTTTTTACTGGCTACCGTTAGGGTACAATTTTTGGCACAAAGAGATCTGTAGTCAACCCTATTTGTCAATTCTAGAGTAAGAACTTGGGTGAAGAATTCTAGAATTGGAGAAGTTGGAAGTTAAGAGAACGATCGAAAGTCCCTCCTTGGTTGAAGGCATGTTTTTGTCCAGTTTGAAGGTAATGAGCAGTGCTATGAAGGGAACTCTATGATTATATTGGTTCGATTCTCTAGCATTTGAAAATAGAGGTACAGAAGGGACCGCTAGTGATGGAAAAGAAGGAGAAATCCCGACGACAGTTAGTGAGGACATTTTCCTTATCTGGCGATGAAGGAATCCAATTCTAGAGGCTGGTAAACACCTGTGCACTAGTAGGTTCAGAAACAGAAAAGTATTGGATGAGAAGAGATGAGACTCAGGTGCTAGAGGCAGTATTCGCGGATGGGGAGGAGGGGTCTTGCGCATGAAAAAACTTCAAGCGCCTTGGCTAGGCACTTAGAAGTTAGCAATTCGCAACCATTGTAAGCACCCCTATGTTACCCACAGAAGAGATTAGTATGCGTGGGTTGATCATGGGATGTGCCCTCGAGGGAATCAAACGTTCAGCAGTTCCCGTACCGAGTTCTAACTCTTTTGACATATCTTTTGTACGGCGTTTCGACATTACGATGCATTTTTCGAGGACACAGGAAAAACGGGTGGTCGAAAATGTGTAAGGCAACATTCGCTGCGCTCTCCATTCTCCTTCAGTGGAAGCATTTTTTGTGCAGCACAGCAGTTGGATATGGCCCGAAATCTAAACCAAGAAATGGACCTAGAATTGTCAGCTTGCTAGAGACAGTCGCACTTTCCATGGAATATCTGAAGACTTGGTGTTGCTAAGAACGGACACTTTTGAAAAGTATTGATGTGCTATCAATTTATGAGGATCAAGCATGCGTAGTTAAAAATTTAACACCGGTTCTAGAGAAAGCAGGGGGACGCATTGGGTGAAACAATCGCTTAGTGAGTTACATAACGAACGGAAATGGTGCTGCAAGGGAGGTTTAAGCTTTGGTTTAGGTACTTCTTGAATGGAAATCGTTTCGGAGTGAATAATCAAAGAGCAACCGTCTGATCCGTTGTCAGCCCATAAGTAAACCATAAAATAAAGGATATTAGCTTCACCAGCGACTTCTCATGTGAATCTGAATGCGCTAGATTATACGGGACCGTAAGTCAAAGTCCACATTAGCAGCATTTCCAGTGAGACAGCTTGAACTGGAAAATGATAAGGGTTTTCCCGAAAATACACACATCAATTCAATCAACTAGTACAGCGTCTGCGCAGTTTTCACAGCGCATTACATTCATTTCAATTCGGCATGACCTGGATTTACCGAAAAACCACTCACTTTGATCCCTGCCGACGCTCCAATTAGTCGAGGTCAAACGGTCAGACACAAACAAAAACATGCAATGGGAACGGTGCAGCGGTGTATAAAAGCTTGACGAGATCGCTTTAGGACAGGACCATGTTTGAAGAGAAACTTCTCATCGGTGTGGCTTCGGCCTTCTCCACTCTGGCCATCGCTGCTTGCCTGATAGTAGTTCCGTCTCTCTACAACACCATCAATGAGATGCACGACGCGGTCCTCGATGGAGTAACTGTATTCCGTGCCGAGACTGACGCTGCTTGGGGCCAGATGATGGACTTCCAAGTGTCCGTCGCTCCTCCAGCCAAGCCTCGTGAGAATCCCTTCAAATCCATCTTCCGTAGCAAGAGGCAGGCAGGTCTCCCTTCTTTCTGCCAGTGCACGCCACCAAGAGCGACATGCCCGCCTGGACCTCCTGGACCCCCTGGACGACCTGGAGCACCAGGTTTGTTCACATCTTACTCTTGTAACTTGGGTTTACGAAGGTTTTTTTTAATTTCAGGACAGCCAGGAGCACCAGGACAGCCTGGCAATGACGCAACTACCACTTATGCTCCAATCAATTGCCCAAGCCGTAGCACTGCATGCGTTCAGTGCCCAGCTGGTCCTCGAGGAGCACCAGGGCCTAGTGGAGCTCCAGGAAACAGGGGACCTAATGGGACAGCCTGGACGTCCCGGAGGACCCGGTAATGCTGGCCGTCCAGGTCCCGCTGGACCTCCTGGAGACGCTGGAGCACCAGGAAGACCTGGATCCGCAGGTCAGCCTGGACCAGCCGGGAGACCTGGCACAACTGGAAGAGGTACGCCAGGAAGACCAGGACCAGCAGGAGGTATCGGAGCTCCTGGAAGGGCTGGAGGTCCTGGAAGAGCTGGATCTCCAGGAAACGCTGGTCGCCCTGGACCTGCTGGGCAGCCTGGAGGACGTGGGCAGCCCGGAAGAGACGGTCGTCCCGGAAACCGTGGAAACCCAGCACGTCCAGGAGGTGACGCCGCTTACTGCCCATGTCCACCCAGCTATAATCGCCGTGTTCGTGTCTAATCTTCACTACACTAATAAAATATCTTGACTTGAATCATTGAGACTTGTGTTCTATATGGTGGAATCGCCTAAATTCACTCTGACAACATGGTTTTTTTTTTTTCTAGGAGAACTGAACCTTTCTTCACGGTATGGGTTTTCATTTTGAGAGGCTTCTTGATGTTATTTAAACAACAACACTGCAGCCGAAATTATTACGGTTAAAGTCCAAACGTGCATGCGGCTGTTGAAAGATGGCTCTTGTGACCGTTATTGGTGGCTACCTTGAACACGCCTTCCTGCCCTCAACTTCGTTTGTGAGGTCAGTGCTTGCTTCAGGAGGTGTGAGTATGTATGAAGTGTGTCTTTCACCTGTTCGGTGATGGAGGGGATTACTGTAATGAACTTCGCGATAAACTTATGTCTAGTGCTGATTCGGCATTTAGAAGGTGAAAGTTGATTTCTCCTTATAATACCCATTCCTCCACGCTTCGCAATACAATCGCAAGATGCTGCGCTATCGCAAGATAGGGGGAGATTATAGTGGCAATGCATTTGAAATCGCCTAAACATCTTCATTTGTTGAGACCAGTGCAACTTTAAAGCGAGAGATTACGATAAAGTGCGTATGCAGCGTGGAAGTACATGCACCATTGGAAGCAGTAGTCAGGGGCCAAGGAAACGAAATGTTGCGTTTTTGTGGTCAAAGGTGCGCTAGTTGCAGCGTACAAGGCTTGCCATTCCTTTCTGAGCCCCGCCACGGTCTGTGCTCCGCCCCCAGCAGCAGCGCCCTTCGATTGCCAATGTGACGAGATATTCCACTTCCAGAGTGTATCCTATAACTTTTCATGGGATGCGTGATCAATCAAAGCATGATGCTTGCTGAAATGATAGAGGCTATCAGCATAACATGTGCAAACGACCTCCTAATTGGTTGCTAGCTCGTCCATTATCGGAGGTCAACGGGCAAAGAAAGGGGTCCCATTTTGCGCCTTCTTGACGGATTTCTTTGCTTTTTTCGCCACTGGGGCATTATTCAGCATCTCCACTTCCACTATGAACCCAGTCCAAACTTATCGTAATCCCTCGCTTTAAAGAGAGAGAAATGACTTCGACCTTAGGAATTTTCGTCATCCCTGATCCTGCCCCCTTAGGGTTAGTCCTTAAAGCACCCATATCTTACAATAGCGCCCAATTTTTAGTGACCGAGAGTGTAGGAAGTGGGTGTCTTCTGGAACGGTTGGAGTGTAATGAAATCACAAGATCGTGAAGCATTGATAGCGTGATATAAGTTTTTTAGTGGGTTGTTTATCCAAGGACACTTCGTGGACACACACACCGACCCTCTCGCTGCCGACACAATAAGAAACGATTTAAAGGCAAGATTCGGGATAAAATAGGTGTGGAAAAGCGTTCAGTTATGAAGCTAGAGGTGGGAGGTGGTCTGAAAAGAGAAGGAAAGCAAACGAAACCACCGATTACGCCCCGCACAGAGACCTCCCCTATTTCAGCCGCATTCCACCTTGGGAGAGAAGGGGCGCGTTGGACGAGTTTCGCGAACCTAACTCTAAGCTGCTCCAGCAGGGTCAACCGTCACGTTCGAACATTTTCGGGATTTTTGCGACCCCCTAGCTCTCGAGGGGGTCCAGTTGCGACCCCCTGTTTTTGTTAATAAGAGTGCTAGACATGAATCCGTTGCGCCAGAAAGCGTCTGCGCGTCGTCGCGTCGGCCTTGGAGCGCGGCAGGTATCACCCGGCGCTGGAAGAACGGGACGCGGCGAAGAAAAAATTTTAGAGGGGAATAACTTTCTTGGGACGTATTTTTTTGACTTGTTGAGGTAGATTTTGATTGTGCCTGAGGTGCGCTTTCAGAAAACTACAAGGATTGCCTAACTCTCCGGAAAGTACTTCTGTTAGAAGTGGAAAACCCAAAATTCTAAGAAGGCGCACCTTCAACTTTGAAGGCCCATAAATCTTTCGTATGCGACATTTTGGAAATCTGTAAAAAGTTTCAGAAACTTCAAATATTTCTCTAACAAAACAGTATAAAAAGTTTAGTGATTGTCCCCTTTTTCAAAAAATTGTCCCGTTCGAACATTTTTCCGTGCAAAAGCGAGTTTTTGGGCTTTCAGCGGCCACTTCATTTTCATTTCTGTGATGCACTTTTTTCATGGGGTGAAAAGTACAGGATTTGCTCTTTCTAACAAGCCCAACCGTTTTTCAAAGTTCATTTTTCGAGAAAATCACACGTTCGAACATTTTGGGGGGTTTTGCCGAACACTTTTTTTGAAATCGCGAGTTTTTGGGCTTTAAGCGGGCATAACTCACTTCATTTTCACTTCTGAGATGCACTTTTTTCATGGGTGAAAGTGCAGGATTTGCTTTCTGACAAGCACCAAACCGTTTTTCAAAATCCATTTTCCGAGAAAATCACACGTTCGAACATTTTGTTCCCATAGGTTTTTGAGCAGCACATGCGAGTTTTTGAGCTTTCAGCAATAATAACTTCCTTCAAAGAACTTGTTGGGGAGGGGCGAAGACATTTTGAAGACTACGAGATGTCTGCTTCCTGTTATGTGTTTCACCGTTGTCTGGATGAATCGTCCTCAGAAAATTAGGTTCCGAAGAACTCTTCAATTTCAGCCCGAGAAGTCAAACCTTTCATAGGGATGCATTCAACTGTTCTCTATTCCTCAAGGAAAACACCGTAATTTGCCTAAAACTGTCTCTCTGTGCATAATTAATCGAATCTAATGCGGTCTGCACAAACAATTCTTGCCCTCGGATACGCCACGCACGCGCCTGTGGCTGGCAGTCCTCGAAATTGCGACCCCCTTCCGACCAAAATGCGACCCCTTCGTTCGAACAGTTCGAACGGACGGTTGACCCTGTGCTCCAGTGCCAATGACTTGGGTCGCAATGGGACCACTGCCTCAAATGCTCCCGCGCTTTTCAAGCAGCGCCACGGGGCTTGCGGACGAAGGTGTGAGTTGCGGGTCGGACGAGCTCCTTGCGCCTTTGTCGCGCACTTTCAAGCCGCAAAAGGGGCGCGACATCAACGCTTGTCCACCTGTCTACTACCCCGGGATGGAACAGGCGAGCGCGCCCAATCTCGGAGCGTACCTTTGAATGTAGAGGCTAACACCAAACGACCATTTCTTGGCTACCGTGATCATACAAATGTGGATTCACAAAGCCAGCAACCTCTTCGTTCAAATACTATTGTTGACTGAGTTACTTCTGATCAAACGCTGTCATGTCGAGAGAGTTAAGGAACATTCCTCAAAAGATCAGGAACAACTCCAAATCGTCAATCGATTAGTTCGCACACCAAGTACTCTAAATTCGACGCGACCGCCTCCTTCCAATCATTACACAAGAAAATGAGAAAACAAGAGCGACGAATGAGCATAACTTCTTCAAAACTAGTTTTGTACAGGAAAATCGTGTCGGGAACAACAATTCCCGTGATAGGAATATGACTACAGCGCCTTCCGCGTTCAATGAGATCTCCTAATTGAGTGGATGTGTGTCGATTCTCCCAATCAGGTCATGTCGACTTTGATTGAAACACCCCAGATCTGCTCGTAGCAGGCCTAAGGCTGAGCGTCATTGACAGCACAGCTCTGGTGACCCGAGCTATAAGCAGAATTAAACTTCTCAATTGAACAAGCCTTCCATAATTCGCAGTCACTGCTTGTGGTTAATCCCAAACGTTATTTGGCTTCAAATAAACTTGGCTCCAAATAAACTTCACATCACAAAGGAAGGTTTTGAAGGAAATAAGGTGTCAGTACGTGCTTGCTAGAGAGACGCAGTGGATTTTATGCCTTCTGGTCTCTGCTCACGTCATAAAGCCATTTCTGATGTGTGTTCGACGGCGTGTTCGCAATCATTCCGCCACCTCATACATATAATACTATATAGACGAAGATATCAGCGTGCAGTTGCCATACAGGTGCATACGCAATACTCTCTATAACCATCAGGAACCAAAAGTAGACGTTCGCCTCCACCAGTTCGCGAATCTGGGAATTTGTCCTGTGAAATGCTAGAGAAGGAACGGGTTTACGCACACCTGAACTTAAGATCGCCGTAGGGCTTGAACATCACCTGAATCAACGACGGTAAGGTTAGGATGTTTGGCGGTAACGATAAGCATGTGTGGAGTGAAAACTGAGGAAAAATTGAGGAGGTTGTCCCGACAGACAATGTAATCAGTGATTGATTCCAAACTTACTTGTTAGACATGTCGAGGTTTCAACACTCAGAAGGTTATCAAGAAAGTATTGAATCTGCTTAACGTTTTTTATATGCTGTCGATTGTTTTGTTGAATTGTAAGCTTTTTACAATAAGAATGAAATGTTACTTGGAATTTGGTCATACTCGAAAATTTCTAGTAAAAGATATTTTCTTCCTTAATTCTCTTTCCCTCCTCCATGCGCACATTCTTGAGGAATGCAACAAGTTAACTTTGTTTCATAGGCGACATGAAAAGAAGAATGCAATATTTATTAACTTGCAAAATATTATATTAAGCACGTGCACGGACATTATAGCTTGGTGGACATGGGCAGTAAGCGGCATCATTTCCTGGGCGTGCTGGGTTTCCGCGGTTTCCGGGACGACCGTTCCTTCCTGGCTGCCCACGTCCTCCAGGCTGCCCAGCAGGTCCAGGGCGACCAGCGTTTCCTGGAGATCCAGCTCTTCCAGGACCTCCAGCCCTTCCAGGAGCTCCGATACCTCCTGCTGGTCCTGGTCTTCCTGGCGTACCTCTTCCAGTTGTGCCAGGTCTTCCAGCTGGTCCAGGCTGTCCAGCGGATCCAGGTCTACCTGGTGCTCCAGCATCTCCACGAGGTCCAGCAGGACCTGGACGGCCAGCATTACCTGGTCCACCTCGCCGTCCAGGCTGCCCGTTAGGTCCTCTGTTGCCCGGAGCTCCACTAGGCCCTGGTGCTCCTCGAGGACCAGCTGGGCACTGGACGCAAGCGTTGCTACGACCGGGACACCTGATTGGAGC